TTCCTGCAGGGGGTTGGCCCAGATGACCCTCAACAGATTTTAATTCTTTTTAAAGCTGTTTTTGTAGTCTTGAACTAGGTTCAATTAATCTGTAACATTCAACATGCTAGCATATGAAGGTCTTTATTCAGCCGAAGAACAGATGCAGCACAGACGCCCATAGCAGAAAACTCCCCTTGCACCACCTGAACAGTTTCCTAGAAAGCAACGGCATCTAAAGACAGTCCAATCTCGCAGGCCAAATTAGCCCTAGGCAACATTTCTGGGAGTGTCAATGAGAAGGGGATAGATTACAATCAGTCACACTGACACGTTTTAGTAAGTGGGGAAATGTTCACCAGAAATTAGGATGAGGGCACGGATAGACATATACATACCTTGGTGTTTCACATGACTTTGGCTTACTAATGTTAAGGACACCTGGATCAGGAAAGGACAGATGTGCGGCTATCCCACGTTAGTGGCACACAATAGTCTGCTACTACGGCACCTCATAACAAGGTGGCAGGGGAGCAAGTTATAGCCTATTTGTCTTTTGCAAGCAGCTACTTTGGGATGGACAGGGACAGCCTAAGTTTAACACGCATGTACTTTTACTTAAGTGGAGTTGTCTTCCTCGATTCAGTCAAAGATGATCCTCCACTGCGTTAGAAGCTGCTCCGATTGTGGGGCTGCATTATGTGCCTGCTACCTTTTTAAAAACACCAGCATAATGGCAATGATAGCGCAGTGAACGTGTCATCTGCCCATGTCCTGAGCTCACCACCAACTGGTTTCACAGAAGCTGGCAGATAGACACCAGATGGCAACTGGTTTTGGTTATTTCATCTACCTGGGCTGCACCTGAAATGGTGGCTCTAGAGACAGACACCGAGTATACACCCTTCTACCACTTCTTGTAGGTGTGCCCCTCTTCCCCGAGCCCCAGGGACTCCCTTAAGCTAGGCGATCATTTCTATCCACAGTGTTCCAGAAGGGAAACAACACTACAATTAGCAGAAAACTACTTAGAGCTGACACGGTACTTTACATTTTTAAAGCACTGTACAAATATTAACTAGTAACCCATAAAACAGCTCCTGCATTTAATGAGTGCCTGTATGTGCTCGCTGCTTCCATGACAAATGTCTATAAACAGTGCTTTTATTATTTGGCCGTTAAACGTTTCTACCTCGGTTCTCACATGAGTGGTCGCACACACTGTAATTACAATGGCACGCAGCAGTCCAGCATAAAGCATGCCTCTCGGCTTCCCTGGCTTTTGTTGCTCATAACTTTTTCCAAAGTCTTCTTCGGTCTGAAACGTCTCATCCTTGGTTTCAACCCAAGTGTAAAACATTATGAAAGTCTGAGGAATCGTTTTGCTGTCATGTTTAATTATGGGCAACCTAAGTAAAAATCATGCTTTCAAGATTAAGTAATTTTGCTTGCTAAGAACTCTGAAGTGGTGGACAAAAGCCAGAACCTCCAAACGTAGCTCTCCACGAGGACGCGTCTCTGCTGAGAGCTTAGGTATGGGCTGCATACAAACCATGACTACACATGCAAGCTGGGCAGGTAGGGAAGTGTGGGCATACCTTGGTGCATCTGGCCCTGTAATGCTCTGTGTATTGGTAATAAAGTGTTTTTTTTTTTTTTTTTTTTTTTTACCTGGCTATCCTATCTTCCCCTTCTACAGCAGCTCCTAGACATGCACATACTTACTTATCCTCATTTTAAACATTAGTAAAATCATATGCACGTTAGTTTTTCCACATGGTTTTGCATTTTTCATTTACAGAATACAGGCTATTGTCAGAAGATGTCTAATCGGTTACAGATTTCTGTTGCTATTCTTTAAATAAAAATTAAATTCTCATCACACATCTGAGTTTGCTTTTTTTTTTTTTAAAGCAACATATACAAGTTGTCATCATCGCTGACTCAGACAAGTAATGCCATTTTGAACTGGGTAGCACTTCCCCCCACCCCTTTTCCCTGCTTAAATTTTCCAAAACAAGTTATCACCATACAACAAGGGACATGAATCTTCCCCCACCAGGTTTCATAACACCAACCATGTTAATGAGAAATTCCAGTTACTCTCATTTACTATCCAAGCTCTCACCACTGATATATAGACTGTTAAAGAATTTCTTCCCTGGACACCTTGATTTCATTTTTTATTCTTGACGTTTTGCTAAATGAAGAGATTGTGAGGACTGGACCCAATACCTTATGAAAGGCAAACTATACTCTATTCTACAGAGTTCTCTCTCATGCTGTCACTAATGAACTGTAATATAAAGATAAATGGAAGAAATAATCATGCATATACATGTTTTCAAATAAAGAAACCTTAACAGTGAACCAAATCTTATTTAGATGCTCTGTTGGTGGCTACCATCTGTTCATTTTTCATCCTATTAAGGGTCTGTACGTGAAAGCTGAGCCTTATAAGTTTATTACTGAAATACAATTAAGGGGCCTGGTTCTGCAGTCTTTACACTGACTCACACATGGGAATAACCTCAAAGACAAGGCATACCTGCCGCTCAGAACAGCTGCAGAATCTGGCCCTAGGAAAGCATAAACATGGAGAGTTCACTATTGAATAAGCCAGTCCTACCTCAGTAAGCGCATGAAGTTGTCCTTGATGTACACAGACGCCCATAAACCTGTAAGACAAAACAGAGCCTTTTGAGCGACTGTAAGCAGGAAGAGAACAAAAGAGCCGGTTCAATATTCAAGCATTACAATCATGCAAGAAGCAGTCCTAGCAAAAGCTCCATCCTTAATTAGACACAGAGTCTGAAAACCCCAACCTGACAAGGGGGCTGGGAGCTGTGGTACAATATACCTGGAGCGAGCAACTCAATGGAGGCAAAACTGGCATGTAGAAGATGACTTTCTCCCAACTTTGATGGGTGGCCAGTATGTGGCTGTGCCTGTGCCGCTCCTGGAAAGGAACGGTCCCAGAATCAGGATTCATTCCCATGCCTCTCCCTTGCTCAGGAAGGACAACACCAAGTAAATTGCTCTTGGTCCATAAAAGTGGCGTGTTATTTTCCCTCCTGTCTTCTCAGTTGTGCTGGCACCATTGCTAGGGGCTGGGGAGAAGGGAGAAGTGCCTTGTGCTTCCCATACAGTCCTGTACAGCCACACAAGGCAAGTCCATTTCCCCCCCCCCCACAAAATGGTAACGTCACCATTACAATTCAGGGATCCTTTGACTGCAAATCGGTTACTTGGACTGCAAACACTTGAGGGCATGGACCACCTCTGCTGGGCACCTGCAGCATGCCTACCATGACGGAACCGGAAGCAAGGGCTGCTCCAAAGCATTACTTCATTGCCGATAACTTCCTGCTTGGATTTTAGCAGGATAGTAAAGAGAAAGAATATTCCACCTTAGACCATGGAACTGTACTTGAGACCTCATCTTACTCCTCTACTTCCCACAAGTTAAAGTCCTGGGGTTTACCACAAAAAGGCAGCTTTCCCTTTCAACGTAGCAGATCTCATCCCTGGTGTGGCCAAATGTGAATCCACACTTGCAAAAACTGATAAACTCAACACCTCCAATTAGGAAGTTCACCAAAACCTGACAAATGCACAGTTTAGTAAGCCTTAGGCTGACTTGGCCTAACTCCCATCACGCATCCTAAGTTATACCAAACCAAATTACTATGGGAAACAAGATCAAAGGAAGTGGTACTAGGCCAGAAAACGTCACAGGCTAGAGGACTGCAGAATTAGGTCACATGTGAGGAGTATTTTAGAAGCAGGGGATTTTTTTTTTTTTTTTTAGCTCTGAGCCAGTTAGAACTACTTTAACCACAGAATGACAAAACTAGGCATCTTTGGCAGATGTTTGCCACAGTTGGGCTGCTGCAGATTCATATCATTGATAAGCTAATAAAAGGAACAGCTCTGCCCTCACGCAGCATTCCCCATGCACTTCACTCTTGCTCATGCAGAGGAAACAGCCGGCAGACGTTAGATACCCTTGCTTTTTCAGGACTTAGTCTTGGAAATTTGGGTAAGCTTGTTCCTAGCAGGCTGGCCACCTGTCAGTGATTCTTAATTTACTGAATTCTAGCATTTTAAGTAATAAAGCAACTTTCTTTCTGTTTCAAGTGGTGTAACCTTCTCTCTTTCAGGTTAAGAGATATTTACTGTTTATTTTAAACCATTTCTTTCAGGTTCATGAACTCTACCATTTGTGACCATAACAACTATAACTCTGTTATACATTTCTTGCAGTGTAATGTTTCTTACTTACACATATTAATCTGAGAATATAGTATTAAAAGCTCTTATAACCATCCCTTCGGACAGCTCGTGTCATTGGAACAGGCTCCTCTACCCTGGCCCACAGCCCACATCTGGCAGTCAAAACAGATGCATATTACAGGCTTGAGAGTCCAAGACTATTGCTGGTAACCGAAGAAGCAGGCACAAGCTTCTTTGTGGAACTGATATCCAATCGCTCCACTAATAATTTGGTCACTTGAGGGGCAAACGCACGTTGACTACTGTTTCAGTAAATGGAGGGTGTTGGGGTTTTTTTAATTGTGAAGTAGGTAGGGAGCAGAAAGGCATGATTTCAGCAAGTATGACCATTGTGAATGCACCGAGGGAATCTTGTGGAGTGATTTGCAGGTGAAAGAAATGACCTTTTATATGCTTGAGCACTTCTGCATCTGAAAACAACATCATGCAAGAGACATGTAGTACTAGTTAAGCTAAGCTGCTTTTGAAGAAATGAATGATCCTCACTGTTCCCTTGTCTAAAAGCCGACTGGTACATTACTGGCAGCCCAAGAAAAATAATATAGATAAGGTCTTTTGCCTAAACTAAGCTGTGTGAATCTGTTTTTGTAACTGGAAAGAGACTCAGTTTGCACTGTCAAATCTCTCATTTGCTCTTGCCTCGCATAATACCTCTTCCTACCACAACCCCATTTTAAAGAGCGTGCAAATGGAAATGCTCTTCGGTTCATATAATACCAAACTATAGAGCATGGCATCACCCGAGTCCAAAAACAGATTTACAGATATCCAGTCTGCTGCCTCTTCACAGGGTCCTAGGAAAGCAGGGCTGGAAGGGACCACACAAGGTTATCTAGGCCAGCCCCCTGGATCATCCCCAAATAAACCATCCCAAAAAAAGAGCGTCTGTTCAAACTGCTCTTGAAAATGTCCAAGAATGGAGATGCCACAGCTTCTCTAGGCAGCCTGTTCCAATGCATGACCACCCTGAGAGTGGAAAGTTCCTCCTAATCTCCAACCTGCTGCACTGAGGCCATTGCTCCTACCCTTGTCCCCTACAGCCCTAGAGAAAAGCTCATCTTCATCCTCTCTGTAATCATCCTTCAGGTATTTGAAGACTGTTATCAAATCCCCCCTCAGTCTTCTCTTCTCCAGACTAAATAACCCTAGTTCTTCCAGCTTTTCTTCATAAGTCTTGCTTCCTAGACCCCTAATAATTTTTGTTGCTCTGTGATGGACTTACCAAACTGCCAACCTCCTTCTTGAAATGCGGGGCCCAAAACTGGACAGATGACTCCGAGGCCTCACCAGTGCCGAACAGAGCAGAATCGCTCCCTTTGATTTGCAAGCAACGCTCCTGTTAAATTCAACCCAGTAAGCTGTTGGCCTTCGTTGCAACAAGAGCTGACTGTTGGCTCATGTTCATCTTACGGTCCACTGCAACTCCCAGGTCCTTCTCTGTGGTCCTGCAGCCAAGCTAGTCATGCCGTGCATCTCCAGCAAAGCCAAGGAGGGGATTCTTCCGCTCTACTCCGTGCTGGTGAGACCGCAGCTGGAGCACCGCGTCCAGTTCTGGGCACCGCACTTCAACAAGGACATGGGGAAGCATGAAAGAATTCAAAGAAGAGCCACCCATATGATCAGAGTCTTAAAAGGCAAGCCATACGAGGAAAGTCCGAGGGAGGGGACCTGGTAGCAGCTTACCGCTACGCTAGGGGAGTGCATCAAGGGCTTGGTGATCAACTGTTCACCAGGGCACTCGAAGGGAAAACCAGGAGTAACGGCCACAAACTCCTGCAAGATCAATTCAGGCTCAACATTAGGAAATACTTCTTCACAGTCAGGGTGTCCAGACAGTGGAATAAGCTCCCTCCATGGGTGGTGCAATCGCCTACCCTGGACATCTTCAAGAGGAGACTGGACGGTCACCTCGCTGGGGTCACCTGACCCCCAAATCGGCTTTCCTGCTTGGTGCAGGGGGCTGGACCCGGCAATCTTCCAAGGTCCCTTCTGGTCCCTTGCAATCTATGAGTCTATGACTTCCCCAGCCCGCATTTGTGCACGAAACTATTCCATCCCAAGTGCAGAACTCATCTAGCTGACTGCAGACCGCGGACCATTTCTCTAGTCTATCCAGGGCACTCTGGATCTTAGTCCTACCTTCTGAAGTATATGCAAGTCCACGCAACTTGGTTCAACTTCTCTTGCAAGGATGATTATAGGTCTGCCTGTTTTCTAGCTTCTTTTTAATATTTTAGAATCACTGAACAGCTCAGATATGTTAACTGCACACCAATACTGCAATATCCTTGTGTGAACCAAGGCTCTTGAACTAGCAACTTCAATGCTTTCTTTTGTTTCTCAAAAAACAAAACTAAAACAAAATACAAAAGAATATCTCCTCCAAAAAAAAAAAAAAAAAAAGACCTGCTACATACACAACTGCGGCCTTTGAACTCATTCAGATCATTGACGCCAGAAGCTATCACTATCGCACAAGGTCTGAGGTCTTGACAACTTTATTCTTCCCTTTGTGAAGAACAATTGCTGACATGCCATTGTTAAAGCTTCAGCATTGCAATATTTTCATGTATAAAAGGGCTCAACAGACAAGTAATACACCATAGATTTTCATTATACTAATAAAAATATTAATAACCACATTGAAGCAACACACGTACTCATGCATTCATGCCTACTTTTAAAAGGAGACAGGAAGCAGTAACTCTGAAGTACTAGGTTACCAATATGGAAACTTAAGTTCAAGAAAAAACAAGAGACTAGGACAAAAAAGGACAAGACAGAATCCAATTCTTCTCTCAAGCAGATCATTTTCTTTTACTGGGATGCTATAAAAGTTAAAATAAGACAAAAGTCAGTAAGTCTTGACAGCTTCCCTCAAATACACAGCAAGAAAGATGTCATGCTCTGCTCTTCAAGACACTAGGTACTTCTGTTCAAAAGCCCAAAGCAGCACAAATTCCTAACATGTCTCTTTTGAAAAGAGCAATATATTTAAGAACCGTAAAGCATTCTGGTTTTCGGTCTGGGAAAACCTGAACCTGAAACCAGAGACAAGCAGCATGAGCTCATACGACAAGCAAGAACCAAGCATAAATTTCTCAACCAACACAACGTGAAATTGCTACGAAAGAAGAGAGAAACCAACCATGCCATTGAAGACTGGGCTATTAATGTATTTGCAAGCCACATAAATCTAGTCCTTTAAATACTGCCAAGAATCTTTTTTTTTGTTTTAATCTGGTAAAAAAATTAATAGCTCTACCATATTCCTGGAAAGTCCTCCTGCATCAGCTGCATGAGGCAATAGCAAGCTTCACCGTTAATCCAAATGCTGTTGGAAAAATAACGCTGCTGAAGGTAACAGAGGCAGCTGCTACTA